GTCGTGGACAATTACTGAAAAGAATCGAACCCGTGTACAAGCTGCTGTGGTGGGCTTTCTTAGACGAGTCGCAGGACTCATGCGTTTCCACATTGTCCGGAATACTAACATCCGGGAGAGGCTTGGTGTAGAGACACTACTTCTTCATATTGACAAGTCATTGCTGCGATGGTTTGGGCATATGCTGCATATGCCGCCAAAAAGGAAGGCCAAGCAACTGGTCCTTGCAAATCCGACCGGCAGAAGGCCCAGGGGACGGCCAAGATTAACCTGGTGCAAATATTTGGAATGAGTCTGCTCCAGACTCCAGTTGTCTTTCGCCGAAGCTCAGACTCTGGCACAGGATCGGGAACGTTAGAAACTCTGTCTGACCTGTCTGCCTCCGCGACTTGAAAGGATAAGGAGCGATGGAAGATGAAGATGATATGGCGGAGTTGAAGAGAATTGAAAAAAGAAAATTCAGGGAGCCAATGAAGAAAGTCCTAACGCGCCATAAACTATTCGTTTTCTCATTCAATTTCATCATCTGAACAAACAGAATAATGAATCTGCTTCGTTTGAAAAAACCATTTATGACCAAGAACAACCAATTCCTCTCCCAAAGGGCTGCCAACTCTGAAAGCGAAGCTACGTATGTTTCAGAAAGTGGCTCAGCAGCTCTTTGCAAATCACAAGAATAAGATAGTGATTCCATTATTCCACCTGCTTTAGCGACTCGGGTTTCGTCGCAGTGTAGCATCATCTGGTACATAAAGTTGTTTAGTTACGGCATATATAAGTTTGAAAGGCAAGGAGTTGCGAAAGGGGAAGGGAAGACTGGAAGTAAGGAGTAAATGGCTTTTATCCATGATAAAATGCAAGCATGAAAATAGGGCGTATTTGACGTGTGCTCTCGAATGAGTGTAGAGAAATTTCGATAACGCGTGACTATGCAGCCAGTTAGAGACGCAGAAGACCCATTTCTGATTGACCGGGTACCAGATTTTATGACTGCCAGTGGAAGGCTGAGGGGAAGAAGGACGTGAATTGCTTTACAGCCGTTGTTTATATTGTCCAAAAATATTTAAGAAGGCTCAGTATGCGAAGCGAGTGAATGCAGTGTTACAGACTTCGGATAATTTCGGAAATTCGGAGTGGGGATACTTGTATTTGCTCTTTATGTGATCTATCTTACAACATATAAATGTCATTGACACCTGATGCAGCTGCATCCATCGCACCTTTGAACTTTAAGCACAACCGGATTCTAAGAAGGTTCGTCATCTGAACGGTGCGGGGGGGGGGCAATTGGATTAAAGTTATCTGCGAAATGTAGGTTTGTTGAGGACCTTGTTCCGGATATAGCAGTGACTGCACACTCTCTGAATTCGAAATAAACTATTCAGAGGATGAAATGAAAATGAATTCATTTAACTGATTGAATTTTCGTTAAGTTTGGTCAAAATTGTTGCCTAAGTCCGTTAAAAGTTCTGTTGTAAAATATTTGCTGCTTTCTGTTGGGGAAGAACTTGAAGGCAAATTCTTTTTTGCATCGTGCATACCTATTCAAATATTCATAAATGTTGATTAGCCTCATGAAAAACCAAAAAATATTACACAATAACCACGCTTTTCGAGCAAGTTGCAGTTTTTAGGCTCCAATAGAAATAACGCCACTGTATGAAAAGCGTACTATGAGAATATTGATTAAATACAAGTAAAATTTTTATTTTCAGTTTTTCTAGAGCTTAGAAGATTCAATTTATTCTCTTCGCAATGATTTTATTGCAACAGAAAATTGCTTGCGGATTAGTGGCAAATTTCTTTGGACCTGCCAGTTCCAAAAATTACCATCCTGCTATGTACTTACAATTGGGGTAACTCTGTCGGCTAAAATATAATGTTACCTGCAAATCAAACATTGAACACCACCGGTTTTGCTAGTCGCGTACATTCTTTCATTAAAACGTGGTGGCGCACTTGTCACTTAAATCTACTCCATCTTTCAACTAATTACGTTTACTGTTTTGCCGTCATCGTTTTGTAAATCGTTCAGCAAAGTGGAAGCCGAAGCAGGCAAAACACGCCCTACATTGCTGAGCGGCTACGTGTCGATCTGATCGGCACATAGGGTGAGCCTGTTTCTACATTGTTTGTCACATTCCTTGTATTCTTGTTCGTATCGGCCGGTTTCAGGACGATCAGTGTCCGTGTTTGTTTATATGTGTAGAGTGGGTTTGTCTATGTGAAGTGTTTTCGCACAAAAGGTGTTTATGGACGGTGTCCGGCGTTGTGCTGAGTCGTTTTCGTCGTCGTCGTTCTGTTGATCGATGCTTGTCAGCGGGTATGGCGACACCCGTCCTCGCTTCGTCGTTATCGTGAGTCAGCGTGAGGTTCCTTTTCCGTGTTTCTGCGGCAAGATCGATCGCGTCGACTACCGCTTCGGTAGCTGCGAATCGAGCCCCGTCCAGTCGAAACCCAACCGAACTGATTTTCCTTTCCTGTTGCTGTTCCTCTCCCAGGTACCGTCCAGGACCTTGCCGTCTTTCACATGGCCGAACTGTTCCACCGGTTTAGGCGTAGATCTTGTTTTTGCCTACCTTTTATTTGGTCTGTGAAGCGTTATCGACGATGTGCTTATTGAAAGATGGATATATGGAGACGACTTAGGTTCACTTAGCTTAGGTCGACTTAGGTTATCTTATTGATTGTGAAAAACTGCATTAAATACGGTTTATTAATACAAAACGCAACAAATAATATTGTCAGTCGAATAATTGAATAATACTGACGTTTTAACACGTGTCTCTTGAGTCTTCTTCTAGGTTGGAGGTTGGCCGAGATTTCTGGGGGTTATTTTTATGGTCAGCAGCGATTGGTCGGTTTTGAGCCAGAAGGTCTTCGTACGACATGGGTCGAAACGTTGGTATTGATCAGTTATCCGATTGACAATATTTTTTGGGTTGTCTACTGATAAGCAGTGTGTTTATGTTGTTTTTTCTGTATAACTACCTACGCGCGAAAGAAATCTTATGTGTCTCTTATTGATTCTTCAGCTTATATTCTGTATTTCTCGACTGAAGGTTATTCCTCATAGGTGTACTGACTTGTTCGCTTTAAAGTTCCAAATTGCAGAACGTTACCGTTCTAGTGAAGACTTAATTTCTGACGTACTCGAAATAGGGCGGTGATCCCTCGAAGTCTTGTGAGTGCTTATCGCCTCATCTGAGATGCGGTCGGCTTAGCACAAATGGTTTTACCTAGAATCATGTTGTCCGACGTGCAGTTGATGATGTAGCAGATTGCTTGATGCTGCAACTGTTTCGAGATAGACCTGTGGTTCTCGTTTAAGCACATAATATTTGTTGACACCTCATATAATGCGTATTTTTTGTCACCGTTCCTGTGCTACTCTTATTGTGATCCTCGCCACAGTTGAACTTTCGATTCGTCGATTACAATTAATTCCGTATCCCGTCGATCAGACTCGTTTTCAACGTGTTTTATCAGTCAAGCCATTAGGCTTATGGTTTCATTAACCAATATATGGTTTGGTTAAAAACTAACTCGATCTGGCATGCTAGTACACCTACCAGTAGTGGCGCAGTATCACAAGAATGACCAACTATTCAAATCATAACAGCGGCTTATGCGCCAAAGACTATAGCTGCTTGATTTGAGAAGTCAAATTCTCCATTTCAACACCGTTATGGTATTCGGACAGCAACGTAGCAGGTTTCGCTAGAGCTCTAATGAAAGTATACCATAAGTTGCTGCAAACTTTGCGATGCTTCGCTGTCGTCATGTGAACTTGCTATCGATCTACGTCGAAGCTTCACTTCGATATAGCGGTCCCCTGGTGCCATGAAATTGCGGTCTGTCATTGATCTCAACCTCTATGGCCACCACTTTGCATCTCGTAGCCACTAAGTCTAGTAATTAATTTACGAAAAGTTAATTTTAGGGCGTCAGATCTTCCAGACCGCTACCGCACTTCACTCATTAACCTGCAAATCAGCGTTTCTTGTCTTCCTGTTTTTCCGTACGCTGCCGTTCGTCTGCGATTTTGTGGTTAATCTGAGCCCTCTTCTGCTGGTCTGCACCAGTCCATCATCCTCAACGTCACTGTCGCGGCGCGCAAAGCCTTCCACATGTGCTGCAAGCTGACATCTTCACCCAGGCGAATGGCATAAAAGTAGTTTTCGTCAGAAGACCTGATTCGAACTCTGAAACATTCGGCTAACCAAGCAGCGGTGATTAGGGTTCTTTCAGGCTTCTGCTTTAGAGAAAAGCATTTTTACAGCAAACTTGAATGGAACGACAGAGATCCGCCATGGAGGAGTGTCACAACAGTGGATAACGACTCTTATCACTGAGTACGAAAGATATGAAAAAATCGCTGATGGGTAAAGGCACCGCGACCCGAAAGGAGAAGCGGCGATGGAAGATGAAGATAAAGAAGATGAAAGGGTAAAGGCAAAGGAAAATAGTGTCCTTCGGCACCGTTTTCGGCTGGTCGACGCAGCAGTCGCAGCACTGTCTATTTGAGCTAACACTTTCCTTGTTCACTTTCACTCAGACTGCGGTTGCCCCGTTTCTTAGAGCGTCGAATTCAAAACCGATAGTCCCTAGTTCAGGCCCCGGTCCAGTCACTCGTATTTCTTTTTTTCGTAGTAGACAAATGAATATTACTCTGTGGAAAGAATTATTCAGGTTATTATACATTATGCTTGCCACATGGTTGCTGTAACTCTGTCTTTAAAATAAGCTACCGGTGGTTGATTGCACGAAGGAAGGGCATAAAAATGGCCAAAAATCACGGTATCACTGCCAAAAATATACGAAAAGACCAACATTCCAACGGTTAAAAACTTTCTCCTCTTTTGTTTCTTAATTTGCAACCAAGGGCTACGGTAAGAATACATCGTTTTCATCAGAAATCTAATTTACAGGTAGTACTGTTACTTTAATTACCAATACTGCTTGTGTATTATACTCATTGTACGGCACTGAATACGGTATACGAAAATGATGGTACCGTTTATCAGAATGTGACGAACAGCAGAGCAACGCATAAATGATTGCCATGTGATAAATTACCATCTCAGTAGGTTGTGAATCCAAATAAACAAATAAGTAGTAGTCCTTACTGTGCATGCGGACAATAAAAATGACTCACTGTTTGTCCTAAGATGGTCAGTGTAACTTGGCTGAAGTGTCGGCGATCATAATAAACACTGCTACCTGTCTCGTTGACTATAGAACCCATTGACCCCATGACGATGTATTAAAGAATAAGACACAGAACTGAAACGAGTTTCAAAAATTCAACGATTTATTTGCATATATTTCTTTGTCACCACTAATGTTTCATGACGAACGTCGGAAGCTACCATTCTGCACATTGATCGAAACGTCATTTGCGATAAACAAATGTATATAGGTAAATCCTTTGCTTTATTTTTTCGATAGTGACTTCCAAAATATAACGCTACCGTGTAGTGTATTTACATGTCTTGGTGTCACTACAAGTACATCCGCATACTAGTACTACAAGGTACTGTAAGTTAAACAGCTGTATTAGTATATTATATTTGGTATATCAATTTTAAGATTCGAAAAAATCCTTTAAAGGTGACATCACGTATCAAGTATATGTTGTATCGGTGGTGTATTGGCATAATGTCTTAAAGATCTGCTTCCAATTCCGGAGTTGCAAGATTCGATTCCTCTCGATGGCACTCTTTGTCTCATTGTCTTATGCAACGTTTTTGAGCAGCGAATTGAGACCACACAATGTTTCAGAACCGATAAGTGCCGAGTTGAAGCCGCGATCGGGATCGTTCGTCGTTCTTCGTTCTGAGGTTGATAAATTAGTACCACTCTGTAAGAAAGAAACGGTAAACAGTGCACTATGCTTGTCACATACTTGCTGTCGACTTTACTTTTAAAATGAGACACTGCTGGCATAAAGAACGAAGATCAGCAGGGCACCATTAACTTCATGAAAATAATGGCCAATGGCTAAAATCGCAGAATCATGAAAGTAAAGAAAGACCGATATTCAGACGGTGACAAACTTTCTTTTCTTTTCCTTATAAACCGGGCATAAAGAATTATTGTTCTCACGGTTATCTGATGAATGGATTAATTTATTCGAACTTTTCGACATTACTTAAATATTATATTTAATGCGTAGTAACAAACTGTTATAACTTTTCACTCAAGTTTTTATGACGACACAGCTATTGCTTGATATGACAGACGTGTTACAACTTATTTGATAGTTAAACGGTTAATAATTTTATTTAAGAATTGTTGGTGTGTTAGGTATTGTTATTAGACAAGGTTAGCTTAATGTTCTACTTCTTCGTTAAGAAATCCATTATTGCGGATTTTACGAACTCTGCCTGTTAAAGACTCAGTTAGTGCCTTTTCGTTATAAGTGGTTCGTACGCCGGTGTACGTCACGTGATCAGATTTCACTTCGTATTGCAATGCCTCCTTGCTCCTAGATATGTGTCGGGGGGCACGTAAGCAGATCAAGGTTCTGTGGTATATGGTTTTGGATTAACCATATTTTATTCGACATATTTCGGCGTATGAACAACGCATGATGTTTATGCGGTAGCATATGAGAAATACCGATGCTGAAATGTCACTCGTGATGAACGCGAGGTAGCTCTAACGGATAACATGATGTGAGATGCATCTAACGCTGCAAGCACTCAATACACCGTTGACCGTAGCCTGTTCAAATCTTCCTCTCACGCAACTACGAGCAATGGGGTTGTGCAGCAGGCCGTGATATCTGGTTTTGGACGGGTCATTCATTCGTTCGTTATTTGCGTTTTTATTGTTTATGCAACACACCAATCGAAGTCCTGCATCAGCCACAGTCGCCGAGGTTTCTTCGCATTCGCTTTTAGGCACCTGCGGATCATTAGTTTGCTTTAGCTCATTTTCTTCATGTGCTTGTTCATTCTGGTGTAGAGAGGCATTGTGCCATCTTGTGAAGTTAATAGGATTTTGCTTCTTTATGTGATCTGTTGTGTTACCGTTTTCTCGTTTGTAATTGAGACAGCAAACACAACTTAGGATGTAGAGCAAGCGTTGCTCGAATTTTTGACTCGATGATTTTGACGAGCATCGGTTCGCTGAGTAAAGTTTTTTTGGTATCTGGATACTTAGCCTTATTCTACGCTTTCATGCGATGTTCTGAAATTCTCGCTTACATATTTCACGTATAGAACAGTAATGCTGGTGCTGTTCACTTCTAGCTTTTTTGCTACTCTGTTGTTGTGGTTTTTCTATTAACCGTCTACTGTAGCTGTTTTATCTGACCCCTTTTCGGCTCTGGACACCACTTAGTTCGTTTTTGACACCAAAGTTGTCCGAGTTCAGTTTGAAACAAGTCAGATAGAGTATTGGGGATGACCTTCTTTGCGACATATGCGTGGTTCGAATTAAACGGCAAAAATTTCGTTTGTATTCGTTGGCCTGCGAGAGACACCTAAACGGTGATGTACTTGTTCCTCTTTCTTGTTTATGTATTACAATAGTATGTTAGAATTTTGATCGTCGTGGTCTTCAGAGCTTTCTTTTCGCATACGAATTT